GGTGCACTGGGGAGTTGGTGCATTCGGTCAGTGCTGTAGCGTTTGTCTGGTTAGCTGTGCAGCACGAGATCCGTGCAAGGTTTATATAATGCCCAGTACAGTTTTTGAAAGTGATGTAATCACAGAGTATGTAAAGGATTATCAGCCCTGAATTCCTTCTAGTGTATAGCTGATAATCCTGAAATTACTTGGTGATAACTTACACGGCACAGGCTTGCCAGCACAGCCCCTGTGGCTGCATCTATATTACACAACCTAGGAATAATTACTACTTTCCCAATCATATCCCAGCTCCACTTCAGGGTGAGATCTGGTTGCACAATATTTTTGCACCCTGATTTTCATGCTGAAGAAACCGGGATGTCTGTGGATGATATCTGCAGCGTGCCCAGCAGATACCTGCCTCTGAAACCACCACAGTTGGAGATCTTTTCTCCACACACACACTTAACTTGTTTATTTCTGCTTCCACCTCTTATCTCTGCCCTGCAATATTTTCTTCATCATCCTGCCCATTTTCTGTTTAGCCCTAGTCTGACTTCAGGCAGCTGCAGCAGTGCAGCGAGGGCTGCAGCAGGCCAGTTTGTTTTACAAACCTGTTAGAATAATTTTTCTAGGTATTCAAAACATCCGGCTTGCCCAAAGATGGTTCTAGCTACCTAAAGTAACAGGAGAAATAAAGGGGGGAGGGGGACCAATACTGCAACTTGCTGCCTGCTGGGCTTCTGTCTTTTTGCAGGTTGTTTCTCTGTGGTGGTATAACATGCAGAAAATCAAACAGAAGCTTTCCGTGTCCTCCTCTTTCTGGAAGAAACACTGCGCACCCAAAAAAAGGGATGGGGTGCGCTATGGGGGGGACTAGATATGTAATGACAGAGGAGCTGGCTTGCTTCAGCCTGATGAAAAATGAACTAAAACGCTCCTTTGCTTCGAGCAGGTCTCTGAAAGGCAGGTGAGTCCCTTGCCCTTCTCTGGGCACTCGGAGAGAAGGAGAGAGTTCAGTCAGTGGGAAGGGGAAGGACGACTACTTTCATTGCATTTTCTTACATCCCTGTTCTGATAAACCCCTGACTAATCCCTTTCCTGTGCAACTTGGTGCTGGCTGCCCAATCACATGGGGCTTACATTACAGCGCTCGCATTAAAAACACGAAGGCAAATCTCTCAGCAGGGCTAAATCACCCACGCGGTTCTGGGGTTTCTAGTCCCCGCTGTTTTGAGGTAAACTGACAAAGCTGTGAACATGCTACTGAAGGGGGGGGTCCCCAAGATCCATACTCTCCCTCTCGTCCTCTACAGTATATTTTTTTGAGGGCAGATAAGGTTCTACCTGGCTCTGAGGGGCAGCATGCAAATTTTCCCTGGGGAAAAGGCTTCTTCCTGAGACAGCTGTCTGATGAATTAAGGGGTGCATACTTAACTTATATTGATAAACTATTTATGTCTGTTGTGGCTTTAAAGCCTCCTGGGAAACCGCAACACTAAAACCAAAGTTATATCACAGTCTGTGATACAGAATACCACAAAAAAGCAGTCTTACCTTTGTTGTCTAATCTCAAGTAATAGAGAAACTTAAAACAGTATATATTATATAAATACAATATAAATATCTAACAAGTGTCTAGTATATGTTTATGATAGGTATTTATAACTAAAAATAAAAATTACAGTATTTATTTAAGGATATAACGCAAGGCGTACTCATCAGGTTCAGAGACGACAAATCTTACTGCCCGGGTTACACTTCTTTTAAAATACCAGAGCACAAGTTGTGCAAATAAATCTATGATTTATTGAAGATTTACATACCGGGAACTGAAATTGTACGCTAGAGCAACATCCTCCCAGGTGATAATTTGCCATTTACTGCTCAGTCCCTTCTGATTTTCCCTATGTATGTTTGTATAAAATCCTCTGCACACAGCGTAGAGGCAAAACATCCCTTTGGCTACCTCCCTTCCAAACAGCTAGCCAGCCTCCTGCTGTAGGTCTGTCGTCTTCCTTGTCCACCCGCTCGGAAAGTGTCATCCAGATCTATTCTTAAAAAAGTTAAGTTTCTCTTGGATATTTCTAGCTTAAGTGCTGCCTAGGCCTGACTCTTTTCAGCTTGCCAGGTATTCTTTTAACAGGGTAAAACGTGACGGGCGCCACATCCAAGGGGTGCTTCAGTAGCAGTGGGACGTTCGTGAGGTGCCAGCACTGGTAAGTCTCAAGTGCTCTACAAGCGGTCTGCGCCCTTTACAGCAAACCAAAGATACAGACGGTCGCGGCTGAGGTGCACTCACAGCCGCAGCGTTACGACCTGGGCTGCTGCGGCGGTTTGCAGGAGCTGGACTCTGCCCTGGGCTTTGCCTCTGAAGGCGTCAAAGGTGAAGGTCACAACCGTGAATCTTCCCAGGGCTCGACGGGCGTCCGGTAGAGTGAACTGTAATCCAGTGGCCTAACGCAAGAGGGGCGCCCCTCGCTGCTGGGGCTCGTGGGGCAGCTGGTAGTAAGGGTGCCTAAAAGCTCCAGCGCACAAGCTAAACGCAACGAGAGCAGCCATTACTCTGGGAGTTTTCACTGAGGTACTACCTCAGTTGGCCCAGCTGATGACTTGCCACCCAGCGCCTCAGCTTAGCACAAGAGGTATTGCCGCTTACGTTACAGGTAGAGGCAGCCATAGAGTGGGATGTAGTCATATATATCTTATATTGCTGCCCACATATTTCGGCTAAGCTGAGAAGCTCACTGGCTTTTCCAGGTATTGTACGTGGAGGCTGACAAAAATGGAGGAAACCACCTCACCGAGCAGCATAGGATAGAGACTAGAAAAGCGGGCAAAATCTGCTCGCTGTGATCCTTTTGAATCGGCCCGAGTAAAGAGTCAACAGAATTTCTTGCTATTCTGATCCCTATATGCCTTCTGCCGAGTTGAACTGGTACAATCTGTTGTATTGTGTCTGTGCCCTGTGAAGCAGCCTGACTCACTGCTTGATACTGTTTCATAACGTGCGAAGTCGTTGCACAACGGCAACTTTGGCATGGCAACTTTCACTTTTTCTTTTTTTTATTCTGCTATTGAATGCTCAAATAAGTAAAGTGCACTTTGTGCTGATTTATAAGCACTACTTACTAATACACGTTAAACAAGCCCTTTTACCCTTAAAGAAATGTCCAATTAAAAGCAAATCATAGCGACGCTGAAAGAAAACACCTTTACTTAAACATCTGCCTGAAATAATCTTCACTCGAGCGCACAGGGTGCGCGTGTGTTGTGTGAGAAGACAGAAGGGCAGGTCCCGCTGAGACCAGAGGGGTAAGCAGCGTGCTGTCTGCTGTTCCGTCACCGTGCCCGACTGAGCGCTGCGCAGCCGTGTGCTTGCACAGCTGGACAGCTGGGAACCATTGGAAAACTCCTATGCAAAACCAAAATTAATAATAAGGTTCCTTGTTTAGCTCCCTATTTAAAAAAAAAAAAAAAAAAAAGCACTTTCCATGCCAAATGCTGGCATGGAAAAGCAGTCGGTGTTTGCCCGGCTAAATCCTCTCTGCCCGTGAGCTGCGGTACCGTCCCGGCCCCGCCAGCAGAAACGCGAAGGGGCAGCAGTGGGTGCCGAGCCCCCCCGGGCGGTGCCTCCACCCAGCGCCCGCGGCCTGTTCCCGTCCTGCCCGTGAGGGACCTGCTGGCCAGGGCACGC